GGTGCACAGACATGCATGCAGGAAAACACCCTTATGCATAAAGTGGATAATAATAAATATTTCATAACAGGAAATTGTTAATTAATCCTGATGTTGCTTCTTTTGTCTTACTGTATGGCCCAAGCTGGTCTGCAATCTGAGATCCTCCTGCCACACCAATATTCTTGGCCTCTCAATTTTTACCTCAAAAACGTTTTCACTTCTTAAGTGAACCAAAGTATGTTCAAAATACATCTGGGAGGAATGGAAGAGATGGCTCAGCAGTTAAGAGCACTGGCTGCTCTTCCAGAGGACCCAGGTTCGATTCCCAGCACCCACATGGCAGCTCACAGTTCCAGGGGATCTAATGCCCTCTTCTGACAGCACAGAGTACATGTGACACACAGACACACATACAGACAAAACACCCATACACATAAAATAAAGATGTTTTTTTTTTAAGTCTCACTACATAGTCCTAGCTAGTCTCAAACTCACACTCTTTATGCCTCTGGCACCGAGTACTGGAATTATAGTGGTGCCACCAACATGCCGAGCCTAGAAACAATTTGGATTACGAGTTCTGAAAATTCAAACAAGAAACTACTTATAATTTCGGGCACAAATTCAAACTTCAGTAAATATTAATTAAAATGTCTCTGCCTCTCAGATATTCCCTCTTGAAAAAAAAAAGATACACTTAGATACATTTACATTCTTGCAGATTTTTATAGCAAGATTTTGACCTTTAAGCTTTTAGACTGGTATTTTAAAAGCTAAAAATAGAACCCAAAATTATACAATGAAGTGTGCCCTCCAAACTACTAAGCAAAAAATCAAAATACCCAGCACTGGAATGCAAGAGAAAGCACCGAGTGTATTCAGACTATCCAAAGTCACAACAGCATCTTTTCTCCCTACCTCAACAGAACCCTTCCTATTTCCTCAGCAACTTAACAGGAAAATGAATGTTTTAACCTTGAGTAGCGGCACATCTTTTCTTCAACAAGATCTGACTTTTGCATCAAGTCTGTAGCATCCACGGCAGTTACACAAAAAGGCCGTATTTAAAAGCCAAAAGATCCATTTTGTGAACTGAGCAGTGGAAGGCAAAGGGAGGTGGATCTCTGTGAGTTCGAGGCCAGCCTGGTCTACAGATCGAGTTCCAGGACAGCCGGGGCTACACAGAGAAACCCTGTCTCGAAAAACAAACAAACAAAACAAAACAAAAAGATACATTTTGTGAAAGAATTTTTATTTTATAAATTTTATTATTTAAAAACCTGCAAATAAATAAAAAGCATCACACACCAAATAAGAGGACCCGAAGTCTACAAAACTCAATGAACTTCTATACAGTTAAAATTTACATTTTGGAACATAAGCTTTTGGTTTGGGTGGTAGATAAGTACATAAAATACATTCAATACTGAAAGTATAAAATTTAATATGAGACTCCACAACTTCTGTTCTGATTTTTTTGTTTTGTTTTGTTTTGTTTGTTCGAGACAGGGTTTGTCTGTGTATTCTTGGCTGTCCTGGAACTCACTCTGTAGATCAGACTGGTCTCAAACTCAGAGATCCACCTGCCTCTGCCTCCTAAGTGCTAAGAGATTAAAGGCATGCACTGCCACCACCTGCCCTTAATTCTTTTTTATTTTTATTTTATGTGTATGGGTATTTTACCTGCATGTATTTCTGTGTACCACATGTATGCCTCAGGACCAGAACAGGGCACTGGATCCCTGGAACCAGAGTTACAGACAGTTCTGAACCAACATGTAGGTGATAGGAATCAAACCCAGGTCCATTGGAGAGCAGCCAGTGCTCTTAACAGTTGAGCTGTCTCTCCAGCCCCAATGTGAGTAAGGGGGGGAGGGGGGAATGTTTTCAAATAATTAAAGTCAGAGATCAGCCCTCACAATGTCTCCTGATTTCCTTGGTAGTAGCGAATAAGAGAGTTTTGTCTGCAAGTGTATATGTGAGTGGCGTGCATGTGTGTATGCACATTTACATGGGTTGGTGTATGTGTGTCCAAGCACACATGCACATATGTGTATGTACACATAAAGGCCAGAAGTTGATGCTCCTCCCTCATTCTCTACTTTATTCTCAGGGAGGGTCTCTCCGTTGATGCCAGAGCTCTCAGATTCAGTTGTCTAGCTAACCTGATGGTTAATCCAGCTAGCCAACTTCTTCCAGAGGCTCCATCTCTGCCTCCAAAGCACTGAGATTGCCAGCCCAGCATTTAAAGTGTGCTGTGGAGCCACACTACAATCCCCGATGATCACACAGTCAGTGCTTTATCTCCTCAGCCCAGGATCACAGTCAGTGCTCTGCCCACTGAGCCGTCTCCTCAGCCCAGGTAACAGGGCTTTTGCTGTCCAGACTAACCTCCAATTCACAATCCTCCTGCCTCACCTTCCTAAGTAGATGGACATATAGACATCGGTCACCCATTCCCACAGCTCACAGATGCTCTGTTTTGATATGAGTTCCAATATAGCATTCCAAATTCACGTATACTCTCAAATCAACTTTATCCAATATATACATGATGTGAATATTAATGAAATATCCTAATGAGATACAACACAAATCTACACCACGGCAGAGTCACAGAAAAACTACAGTTATGATGTGGACAACGGGCTGTCGACTTCTTGGCATTGTTCTCTGTTGGAAATCTAATCTGGGCCCCAAAATGAATACAAGATGCTGGAGCTCTTGGAACCTTGTATCTCTTCCCAGTTTGCAGCTGACAACAACTGGAATGCCAGAGGCTAGGAATCTTAGAAATCTCCATCTACATAAAATAGGGCAAACATTACAATCAAGGTGAAGAAAAAAGTTCACCATATCACACCATAACAACCTGGTATCTCTAATTCTTCTTTTATATTCAATGGTTACCTTAAAAATAGAAAGTGTCACATGACATGTGGCCAACATCAAAGGCTAGAAGCCTACCCAAAGTACTTCCCACAACTTGCCTGGTTTTTTTTTTTTCCAAATCAAATTTCTCTGAAACCAGGGAAACACAAAGCTACATTCTCTAAAAAGAAAAATACTGTGGTTACTTCCTGTGAAGATGAACAGCTGACCGCTGAGGAGAAGGCTCAGTGGAGAAAGTGGTTGCCACACAAGCCTAAGGAACTGAGTTTGATTCCCCAAAACATATGTTTAAAGAAAAACAAACAAAACGGTGTACCGCCATACCTATAATCCGAGCGCCAGGGAGACAGAGCTGGGAGAATCCCTAGGGACTGCTGGCCAGCCAGTCTAGCCGAATCAGCAGGCCTGCGGTTCAGTGCAAGGCTGTCTCAGAAGACAAGGTGGGAAGTCACTGAGAAAGACACCCAATGACTGTCTCTGGCCTTCACACACACACACACACACAAACACACACACACACACACACACAGCTGAATCACCTAAGCAAAAATTTCACAATAAGCAAGACTTTCCAAGGTATTATTTTAAAATTACTTCATTTGCTGCCCAGCCAGGAAAGCTAACCACCAAGGCTGCCCTTATACAATCTATTTGGGTCACCAGGGTCCTTCAATTCAACCAGAACATAAAACTGTCCAAATCTAATGGTAACAACATTAACAAAATCAAGCGCGGGGCTGTGTTTGTTTACAAGCACTAGCTTCAAATAAAATTTACACCTAGAAAAGCACAAAGACAACGTGTCCTTAAATTTCCCCTAAGTTCCCTCATTCTACACTTCTCCTTCCTCTTCTTGGAGAGGAGAATGGGATGCCAAATTAACAGTCAGAAGGCTCAGAACAGTTAGTTCCCGGAGGGTGCAAGAATTTACAATGCACGCTTGGCAGGGAGCTCGGTGGGCACACACACACACACACACACACACACACACACACACACACACACACACACACACACATCAATGCTCAGAGGAAGCTTTCAAAAAATGTAACCAAAGTTTTAAGGTCTCATTTAGGCCTATGGGCAGCCCTCTCCAATTCACGGTAAAGCACAGCTCCATTCTCCAAACCCAGAGTTTCCTATAATGCTCCAAAAGGAAAGAGCACAGATTCTGGACCCCCCCCCCCCTCAGTACTGCCGCCTCTCACGTGGAAGGCAGGCCAGCCCATGTGAATCCAAATGCCACCACATCAGTTTTGTGACAGATCCACTGGGAGCATCCGACTGTGATCAGGGCCCTCCAGGCCGCGGGAAGAGAAACATAAATGCAATCTTCGGGGCCCTCCTACTTCCGTTCTCAAAACAGAAATGCTGGCTTGCCTAGCCCCTCGGCCCCGCACCTCTTCCAAAAGCTTCCACGGAAAGCAGAGCAGACCGCGGCGGTCAAGGGTGGCTAGAATAGGTGGTTCAAAGCCCCCCTCCCCAGCCCCTCCGTCGAATCCTCCGCCAACGCTTCCCTGGGGGCCCCTGCCCCCTCCTCCCGGGCCGAGGGCCGCCGAGAAGCGGGAAGAGGAACTAAGTGACCCGCAAGGATGCCCAGAAAGCTGGCGCGCAGAGGGGGTGGGGAGGTGGGCGCCGACGCGCGGCGGAAGGAAGGGGAGAGGAAGAGCGCCAGAGAGGGACGCGACGGTCGCGATGCCGCGGTGCCCGGGCTCCGGGAGAGGCGGCGGCCAGCCAAGGCTGAAGAGGCGACGTCCCCTCTCGGCCACGCCTCGGACTGCGGGCGAGAGGCTGCAGCCCGGCCCGTGGGAAGGCGCGGACTGAGGGCCCGCGGTGCTCCCGGAGCCGGCTGGTGTTCCCGGGGTCGGCGGTGCACCCAGGATCTGCGGGTGTACCCGGGAGCCGACGATGCACCCGGGGGCGGTGGGTGCTGCCGGGGGGCTGGTGGGTGCTCCCGGGGTCAGTCGGTGCTCCCGCAGCCAGCGGGTACTACCGTGGCCAGCCAGCAAAGGCTCCCCGGGTGGACGAGCGATCCCGGGGTCAGCGGCCGCTCCCCAAGACCCGCTCTCACGCCCCGCCGCCGGGACAGGCGGCTCCGGGAGGCACCGGGCGACACGGCGGGTTACCTGAAGCGGGGCGAGTCCTTCAGACACTCCTCGAAATCCACCGTCATCTTCATCTTGCCTCTGCCTGGCCTCGCAGGCGACGCCGGAGGAGCCGCGGGAGCTGCGGGAGCGGGAGAGCGGAGGCACCGGGGATCCGGGCGGCGTCGGCGAGCGCTCGGCCGCCTCTAGCGCTGCGCGGAGCTGCGGAGGGCGCCGCGCACCCTGGGCATAGCAGCCGCGGAGACTGCAACGGCTCGGCAGGCCCAGGCCGCCTCTTCCTCCGCCCCAGCTGAGAGCCGGCCGGGGAAAACGCCCCGGAGTGACAGCCGCGGCCAGCCAGCCACCGAGCCGCGGCCACGGGAGGGGCTTCCGGCAGCACCGCCCGCGGGAGGTGCACGGCCGCCGCGACAGCCAACCGCGGCGCGCGGGTGTCGTTAGGCGGGATGCACGGGTTGCTAGGAGGCCGGCCACGCAGGCGCCCTGGGAAGGAAGGAAGTCACGTGGCCTGCCTAGCCCTCCCCCGCCCCCTCCACCACCACCGCCGCCGCCGCCCCCCCCACCCCTCCCTCGGGTCTAAAAGGAAGATGTACTCTTTAACGCAGCTTTGGCAGCAATCTGTAGAGGTCTGGGAGCAGAAATTATAACAAGGAAGAGACTAGACTAAGCCTTTCAGTTTAGAGAAACTGAGGCCAGGAGAGGCGTGAGGGCGGGCACCTTTGATAACCTTTCGCTTTTTTGGTCCACCGCTAAATAATTTGGAAATTGCGCCTTGCATCTTTCCATATTACACTTTTTCATATAATCAGGGACCTTTTTCTGGAAGTACAATGTCTAAACTATATTCAAATCACCCTTAAAAGTATAGGTGTATCTGTAAAAATGCATAGGTTGGATGTTTTAACCCAGTGGCTATGAACACCTGGAGGCAACTTCTAGACTTATCTCCTAGCTTTCCCACGTTACACAGCCAGCGCTGATCTGATAAGAACTGTCCAGTTGACACGGTGTCACACAGTAATCATCCAGTAACTGTTGGCTGTCATAATTGCATTACTGTCTTCTTTACAGGTCAGTCAAAGGTCAAGCCTCAGCCGGCTCACTTTTGCTATCTGAAGTCTATATAACCTTTGACCATTTGCCTGTGTTAGAAAGTGATGTTGTGCTAGCTTTCATAACCTCCAGTTACACCTTGATCTCTTCCCACACTTAGAAAGTACCAGCATAATTCTGAAACTTTTCAATGAACACACAAGCATTGTATATGTTTCTTCTTTCATTAGAAGTTTTATTTCTTTTTTTTTTAATTGAATTATATATCTCTATGATCGGCAGAGGTCTCCTTGATCTACATAGTCCTGTTGATAGCTATAAATTACTGATTGTTAAACGCTGCCCTCAAATATATCAACTGGCCAGACTAATCTTTTCGGGAATTGTAATTTTACCAAGAGTTAGCCGTTTATGCTACATTTGATTGCATTGATGATTTGTGGCAAATACAGTAAGTTACCGTGTCAATGTTTCACCATCCTGTTGCAAGACCCTTAAAAGTGGTATTTGGAGGGTCAAATTAAAATTCAGCTGCACAAGATCTGAAGTATGAGGCTAGCCTGGGCTACATAGTAACATCCTGTCTCAAAAAAACATAGACATAGTAACAAAAACCCTGTGATACTGGCACAAAACAAGACAGACAGAGCAATGGAACAGCACCGAGACCCAGAATGAAAACCACACACCTACACTCCCAAATCGTTGACAGAGATGTCAAAAACAGACTGGGGTAAAATGATCCCAGCCTCTTCAACGAGCGGTGCTGAGGAACCTGGACATCTACATGTAAAATAATGACAGTAGGTCTGGAGCGATATCCATAAGCTGCTTAACACACAATTACAAGGACCTGTATTTGGATCCCCAGCATCCATGTGAAAAGCTGAATATGGTGGCGTGTGCTGTCATCCTAGGGCTGGTGGGTGGAGAAAGGCTGGACTGGGGAGCTCCAGGCTCGGTGATAACTTATCTCCAAATATACGATGAGGAGCAGATGGGAAGACATCCAACATTTACCTCTAGCACACAGGCATGAACACACACATGAGCACAGACATGTGCATGTACCACACACATACCCCAGAAAGCTTCTACATGGCATTTTTTTATTTTTAAAAATTAAAAAAAAATCAGCAAAGAGACAGCTTATAGAATGGGAAATACTTTTGTCAATTATTCATGACAGGCATTAATATCTAGAATCTATAACAAGAAGGGGGGACCTCGAGGTTCAGCATAATGGCTCAACAGGTTTTGTTGCCACCAAACCTAAGCACAATCCTGGATCCCATAGTAGAAAGAAAGCACCAGTTACCAAGGCTGTGTGTGCTCTGACCTGCACACATGCTGTCGAAAGTTCATGTCCCTATTCACACACTCTTGTGCATTACACACACACACATACACACACACACATTCACATAGCCTCATAATTTGTATTTCCTTTTTAATGTATGTGTGCTTGTCATGTAAGTGTATACCACCTGTGTTCTGGTATCCTCAATGGCCAAAAGAGAGTGTCAGATCCACCAAAGCTGGAGTTACAGGCAGTTGTGGGCAACTTGATGTGGGTCCTCTGAAAAAACAAGTGCTCTTAAGCATTGAACCATCTCTTTAGCCCCAACACACACACACACACACACACACACACACACACACACACACACACACACACTTTAAAAAAATGTAAATTTTAATTAAAGGGGGAAAAAACCTCCAAAAATTAAACACAATTTTTTAAGTTCTATTAATACACAGGATAATGGATCAAATAGACATTCCTCAAAGGGAGAAATAAAATGGAAAAAAAAGTGCTCAGTAGCCTTAGTCATCAAGAAAATTCGAATCAAAACTGCACTGAGATTACTTTTCACTGGAGTCAGAATGATGATCAACAAAACCAACCACACCGGGTGTGGTGGCTCACAGCTTAAATCCCAGCACTCGGCAAACTGATCTTTGTGAGATGGAGGCCAGGCTGGTCTACAGAGTGAGTTCCAGGACAGCCAGGGCTACACAGAGAAATCCTGTCTCAAAAAAAAAAAAAAAGAAAGAAAGGAGGGAGGGAGGGAGGAAGAAAGAGAGAGAGAAAGAAAGGAAGGAAGGAAGGAAGGAAGGAAGGAAGGAAGGAAGGAAGGAAGGAAGGAAGGAAGGAAGGAAGGAAGGAAGGAAGGAAAAACCAACTGAACAAATGCTACTAAGGGTCTGGAAAGAGAGGAAGCCTCATACACCACTGGTGGGAATGTAAACTTGGTGCAGTCACCATAGAAGTCATTCTGGGGGTCCTCAAATACTAAGTTAGAGCTGTCATATGACCATAAAATGATATGATATACCTATACCACTCCAAGGCATACATACGAAAGAGTCTACGTGAGCACACCACAGAGGGACCTGCACACCCATGTTTCCTGAGAGGCACTGCTTAACACAGCCAAGATAAGGGAACCAGTCTCGAGGTCTGTGAACAGATGAATAGAGGGTAAGGAGGAAATGATGATATTTGCCTGTCAATGGATGGGACCTGAGATCACTATATTTAAAACGAAGCTAGACTGTATCTATCACCTTATACAATAACTAACTCTAAATGAATCAAAGACCTCAATGTGAAACCTGAAACCATTAGAGGAAAACATAGGCAGTACCTACATGATATAGGTGTAGACAAGAGGGACTTCACTAAACTAAAAAAAAAAAAAAAATGTTTGCACAGCTAAGGAAAAAAATCAAGTAGCGAGGAAACCCACCAATAGGAGCAAATCTTTGCCATCTGTCAGCTATGCATCTGACAGAGGATTAATATCCAGACCATATGAAGGACTCAAAAAACAAAGAATTAAGAAAACAAACACCCCAATTTAAAAAAAGTAGACCATGGATCTGAACAGAGAATTCTCAAAGAAAGAAATAAAAATGGTTAAGAAATATTCCGGAAAAAAAGTATTCATCAGCCTTAGCAATCAGGGAAATGCAAATCAAAATAAACTTTGAGATTTGACCTTACCCCAGTCGGAATGGCCAAGATCAACAAAACAACAACCAATGTAGGGAAGGATATGGAGAAAGGAGAACTCTGACTCACGTTGGGGAGTTTGCAAACCTGTGCAAGCCACTCTGGGAATCAGTGTGGAGAATTCTCAAAAAGCTCAAAATAAATCTACCATATGCCCAGCTGTAACATCCTTGGCTTATGCCCAAAGGACTCGACATCCTACTCTGCAGAGACTTACTCAGGATATATGAAACAGTCAGATTCATAAGGACAAATACAGTATTTTCTTTCGTAGGCAGAATCTACATTTAAATTTTTATATGTTCATGTAACTGTTCCTAGATATTGTATATGAAGGGGGCACAGTAGAGAAACCACAAAAATGGCGACTCTATGATTAGGGGGAAAATATCCAGAGGCATCTGGAAGAGTCCAGAGCAGAGAGAAAGCAGCAGAGTGGACATGGCCAGGGCTATCTGCAAGAGAGGGGAGAATGGCAGAGGAAGCGGAAACCTCGAAGGTTTCTGCAACAGGCCTGGGAGTTTAGGGTAGGTACGGAGGTGAGAGGAACCTGGACGAATGCATCCAGGTGGTGAAATGCAGAAGGGGTACTTGTAAACGGGAGCTGGGGGAGCCTGGAAGCTAGCATGGACTTTGATATGCTGACAGCTGCCACAGGTATGTCAATGGGGAACTACATGTCCCTATTTGCCAGAGGTGAGGGAAATGATTCCTTACGGTGGACAGATGGGAACCTGTTTCACAAGTACTGGAGGAATGCTGACTTTTGTGTAACCACCTGAAATCCTATAGTCCTGCTGGGGGTGAGTCAAGACTTGTCATTTCTGGAGATTATATATATATATATAGTGTGTGTGTGTGTGTGTGTGTGTGTGTGCTTCCTGAAACCGAGCTAATGGCATCTGGAAAGAGGGGCTGTCGGTTGAGTTGCCTCCTTCAGATTGCCCTATGGGTGAGTCTGTGAGGCATCTTCTTGACCAATGATTGATGTGGGAGTGTCCAGCCCACTGTGGGTGGTGCCACCCCTAAGCAGGTGGTCCTGGGTTGTGTAAGAAAGCCAGCTGAGCAAGCCCTGGACGGCAAGCCAGTGAGCCAAGGTTCTCTCTTCTCTCTGCTTCGGTTCCTGCCTCCAGGTTCTTGCCTTGGCTTCCTTTAACAGGGGTGGGGGAGGGGGGGGGAGTGGGGTTCAACCTGTAAGCCGCATGGCCCCTTTCCTCTCTAAGTTGCTCTTGGTCATGGTGTTCTATCACAAGCACAGAATGCAAGCTGGGCAG